GCAGCCACCAGGGGGCTAGGAAACACCCAGGGCTTTCCTTTCTCCCCTCTGTGTCCTTCTTGGTCTTGTTTCAACATGAGCCCAAAGCAACTTCTGCAGGGACAAGACAGTAGAAAGCACTCTCTGAGATTATTTGGGACTTCGATTCCGTGCCAATGAGAACATTCAGGTGTTTATACTGACTAGATGCTTTTTCTCCTAGAAAGATGTAAAAGAAGGAACTTTCATCTATTTGAAGTAATGATGAGGACACAAAATCTAATATTAAAATGAGGTCGCTGTAACGAATGCTGAAAGCAGCTACTGCAGGCAGGGTCAGTGCTGCTCACAAACATCCAAAGCACCTGCGAACCCACACCGCTCCACACAGGGCAGGAGTCCCACCTACTGCCTTGCCCGCACTCAGTGCCCATGGAGAGAGGATCGGGGTCAGTGAGACCTGCTGTGGGACCGCACTGACTGTGTACGGGAAACCACAGGAACAGCCCACAGTCCCCACGCTGCATTCTGTAGGTTTGGTATTAGACATAAAACAGCATGTGCAGGTATTTTAAAACTTAAACACCTTTTATAACATCAAATATACCAGACAAAGTGGGGGGGGGGGTCTACGTTCCTTCATCTGCAAAACTCACCCACTTCCTCAACCTCTAAACTGGCAGGGAAATGTAACCGCCTGTGGTGGGATTGAAAGAGGACAGTATATCTGTCCATTCACAGGGTGACCTTCATGGAACTGAAAATTGCCATGATTTCTAAGAAAACAGAGCAGCCACTAGCTTCTCAGCTTCTAGAAAGTGCTAAGGAATGATTCTATTTGATAAATTAACTTTGTACTATTTGTGAAAAAAAACTGTTTAAGGAGCTTCGCATGACACTCTTTCTGAGTACACTTCAGTGACCCTCAAAAACATCAGTAGATTATTTCCAACAGTGGTTCCCGATTACTGTATATAAGGACTCTCGATGCAAAGTGGTAAAATGTACCTTCATATAAGGTTTGCATTTTGCGGTTTGCTTAAATTATGGTACACATAAAGCAGGAACATACAGAGGTAGATATAGGTCACATTTGTATGCATGCATGTGTACAAAGGAAAAGTGAAATACATGAAATACAAACAATGAGAAAAATTGTTAGTCAGCTTTACTACGTCCTGAAAATTATATCTTTTAACTCAGGAGATAAGTGACAATAAAATCAACAAATAGTCTGTGTTTACGGAATGTCATGGGGAATAATCATATAATTTCACTTAAGTGCAACATGTTCAGCCCCTTAAGTTTTCTGAAGGTCTTTCAGGTACCACTGAAAATAAAATGAAATAGATTATCAGCCCTTCCATCAGAAGGTGCCTTCGTATGTAGTATTAAACAAAAACTACAGTTTCAGTTAAACTAAATGGCTTATTCTATTGTAAATGTTAATATTTTATAGATATATGCAAATCATTTTAATATTTGGGATTTTCTGAGGTTTTCCATTATACACACTAGGATACAGCATCATATATTAACCAGCTTAGAAGTGTAGCACACCTTGTCAACTTATTTCTAGAGAAAAAGGCTTCTACTTACTCATAAGAACAAAATGAGTGCTGCTTATGAAGTGTTGTTGATGCATTTCTTATTTCTTCCAGTACTAGAGTCACAAAACTGCCCAAATGAGGTTAAATATCTTGAAGCCAATGTTTCAAAGTTCAAGGTCAATTAGTTTTGAACACACAGTCTATAGAGATACTGTCCGCAACTGCCCTCACTCCCTGAGGCAAATGTGTACCAATTACCTCCCCATCCTCCATGACCCTGTAGTAATGGCTATTTCATAATGTGCTATCTCTCCCTCAGGAAATGCACTTTTGCTAAAATGAGGTAAGTTCAAATACTTGAACAAATGTCAATTTCAAAACAAAAATACATCAATGACTTGCTATTTCAAAATTAAATTACATAAAATTTTACACTTTTCAACTTGTTATACTATAGAAATACTTTTACAGATTTTTGACCATTTGTACAAGGTGAGGTTGAAATGCTCCACATTGACAGTGAGCCACTGAAAGTGAAAACTCCTGTGACTGCAGTCATTGGGAGGAAGGTGCTCGGTGTGGAGGGAACCACATTCGGAGCCACACCAGATTCTCACAATGAAGAGGAATGAAGGTTCCCTCCTGGATGTGTAAACAAAAGGCATAATTTGGGAAAATAGTCTTTACATTTGAGCCTTAGCACAAATGATTGAAGAGTGTTTTCCTAACAACAGTCAACACACTTAGCTCATTTACCTCAGGAACAGGGAAAGCTACCAGGAACTTTTGAAGGTCACTCTTGGGGACACAAACTATGAATGCCTGAAATTTATTCCTAGACTGATTGGCTCAACTGCACATATATACAATGTGACTGCAGCTATAGAGCTCTGGTATTATAATAGTATATTATATGCAAAATCTGGAAGATATGCAATCTCTAAGGAGGAGTTCTTACAGAAACACTGAGAGAGAGAATGACATCACCAACATGGCCACAAAGAGTTGTGGGGATTAAGTTCTCTCTTGGATATAGTAAATAAGGGAGAAATTGCAGAAACTCCAACCAAAATTCAGACATTATGAACAGGATTGGTGACCCAGGGGAAGCAGGAGAAAGGAGAAAGCAAAGGAAGAAGAGATGAATGGGAGATATGTCCAGGACTCCATCCCCCCTCCCGCAGGTACAACCAGAACATCTCAACGAAGGAAAGAAAAGGAGAAAAAAACCTGAAAGCAACTGGAAAAGCTGAAACATCTGAAAACCCCGAAGGGTGAAAACAAAGGTCACCAGGTTGATTGCGTGAGGGGGAGCAGGACTACTACAGATTCACGGGTGTGAGAGCTGTGGGAAGGATAAGACTCAGCCTTCTTGCCACCACTGGGGGCAGGGCCGGGACCTAGCCACAGCCTGCAGGAACACCTGGTCCCCTGACACAGTCTGAGGGAGAGCAGCAGCACTCGCACATTGAGAGGTGATTCTCTGATAGTGAAAGCCAGGCAGGGAGTGGCATACAACACAGCATCAATGTGGCCAGGATGCGCGTCTGCTGCTGAAACAGGCCAGTGTCGGCTGTGAACAAGGCATCTTGTGCTTTTGCTCCCCAGAACCTTAAGACCTGGGTGGAGTGAAGCAGCCTGCACTCAATCTCCAGGCATTAGCTGCAAGAGCATCAGGGTCTGGCCACAGGCACTGAAACAGGCAGGGGGCGCTGCCCTGAATGGGAGAACTTGGCTTTTGCTCCCCAGGACCTTGGGGATCAGGTAGAGCACGACAGCCAG